AGCAAATCATTTAACTTGTCTGAGACTGTTTCCATAGCTATGAAGTGGGAATGATATTAACAGTGTTATGAGCATCAAATGGTAAAATCTCAAAGCACTTAGCACTTAACTCAGTGACTGAACATAGCAATAGTCGATGTTATTTTAATTATTATTATTATTATTTACCCAGTTCTGTTGCTTATTTTTTGCCTGTGAGGGATTATACACAAGATATACAGACATTTAATTAAGGTTCACTAACTCTGATTCTAAACTGTCTAGAAGACAATCATTTAGCACTAATTTTACAAATGTCCCATCATTTTTCTTAGAAATCTTGATGCTGTTCACTGTGAAAATATATTAATTTATTGCCCAATTGCTAAAACTCATTCCTGTTAATGTCATAGTCTGTGCACCTAATATTCTATACACACTTCTAATAGACTATTTCTAGTGGCTTTTCTTAAACTGAAATGCAAAAATCTCATTACCTAGACCAATGGTTCTCCTCAGTGCAACATGGGGCTCGAGGCATACCAGGGACCCATTAAAGAGGCCTTGGAAGTCAAAACTGTCTTCATAATAATGCACACCATTGCTTGCCTTTTCTTCTGTATTGACATGTACACTAGAAGTGCAAAAGCAATGATGGGTAAACTGCTGGTGCCTTAGCACAAATTAAAGCAGTACTTTTCCAAAATAGCTCTCAAGTATCCTAGCAGTAATTGTATTCTTCACTGCTAGGCACTCACAGTAAAAATAAAATGCCAGTTTCACCTGAAAACTGAAGAAAATCTTTTGAAGAAATAGCAAAATTATTAAATTTATAAAACCTAGGCCCTTAAATCTCAGTGATTTTCAATATTTTGTGTGGCAAACAGTACAATGTACATAAACCACTAATCTGTACCTAAGGATTATAGTTGTCTCAAAGAAAAGCATGCATGTGATTAAACTGCAAGCTAAACTAGCTGCTTTACTTATGGAATACAGTTTTTATTTAAAAAAATAACTGGTAGGGAAACTATATTTTTTTAGACTTGAGTATGTGGCAGATACTTGTTTGTTAGCAAGTGAACAAAAGGGATCTGACACTTGAAGGAAAAAATAATACATGTTACTGATAATAAAATTTGAGATTTTGAGTAAAAAACTCAAATTTTGAAAAACTTCTAACCATTGCCATGAAGTTGAGAGTCAATATGTATTTAAAGAGCTTTTTGATAAGATTCTTAACACTTATAACAATATTTTCTAAATGATCAATTCCTGATATTTCTAAGTCATGAGTAGGTAATAAAAGATCCATTCAAAATGCAAGATAGATCAATGTATTTTTATGTAACAAAGTATACAAAGTTCACTGATAGGATTTCAAATTCCACATTGCAAGTAAATTTTAAGAAAGTGCCACTTGTGGAGTTCTGGTGTAGTATCAAAAGAAAATTGACAATTATCTTAAAAGAATACCAAAGTATGTCTCCCTGATCCAACTTCATAGATCTGAGTGAGGATGGATTCTGTTCATATACTTTAACTGAAATAATTTATTGCAATGGAATGCATGAGAAGATTTCAGAATCCAGTTGTGTTCTCTTAAGCCAAATATTAAAGGGATTTATGAAAATATAAAATAATGTCTCTTTTTCCATTATTTTTTTAAGTTTGGGAAAATAAAGTTTTTTAATAAATTAAGGTATGTGTTTAATATGATTTTTAAACAAATTAATAAATATTTAATTTTTTTCTCAGTTTTAATGTTCAAAATGATAAATTTCGATAGGTAAGACACACCTAACCAAAAGCTCTCTGAAGTCCTTAACAATTTCTAAGAGCATACAGGGGTACTAAGACCAACATATTTGAGAACTGTCAGCTGGACCCATATACAGTATGTTCTTCCATTTAAACCCTAAGTTCCATGTAAGACCACCCACCTAAGTTTCTCTTTCCTCTTTTAGTTTTCTGACAATTCTCAATTCACTTGTACAACAGAGATAATTGGCATGTGTTTATGTCCTTAGTTCAATTCATGATCAAAATCAGGTTTACTAATTTCCTCCATTCCCCCAGTTTCTCTCTGTTGAGTTATTCCTGAGGCGAATAAAACATATTCTGGTCTTAACTCTTCTACCATCTCATTTAACAAACACGTCCTAAGCACTACTATACCTCAGGTATATACTAGACTCTGAGATAATAAAGATCAATGAAACAAAACCTCTGGCTTTGTTGAGGTACAACCAAGTCCCTAAGTTGCATGTTTCTATACAACACATATTAAAAAAGAAATGTTTATTGAACTATTACATCCCTATTTTTTCTTGAACCTAGAAAAATGGTACAAACTTTTTATGAGCTGTTCTAAAATAATCAAGATTCATCCAACAATGCTAAGACACAAAACTATAATAAACCTTGTGTCTGCAACTCAGAATCCATCCTTGAAAAATTCCTGTTAATGCCAAAGATTTAGGTATGATAAGTAAGGTAAGTGAAGGTGTACAATTGGACAGATCTCCGAAATGAGCAATATCAGAGCCACAGTCCTCAGCCCTTTCCACAAGTGTCAAAGCTTGAAAAAGAATGCAGATTAAATCATTTCTCTTTTACCCACTGACCCTATGCTTGCCCATGGAATGTGATCAGCTATGACTCTAGCCAGAAACCTGAGTAAGCAACTCAGAGCTCTATCAGTGCACATGAATAATTAAAAAAAAAAAATGTATTGGAGCAAAGTTTGCACTTGAAAACAAACAACTGAAAAATCACCTCTGACAACCAGAGGTAACATAACTTATTTTTGCACAATCACAGTAAATTAATTGTTTGAGCAGAAGGAAAAAAGAACTTTATTGTATATACCTGAAAAATACAACCAATAATAATATGAAATTCTAGCTCCCAACTACTGCTTTCAATATTCTTTGGAGAAACACATTTGCTTTTAATTATAGGAATGGTTGGAGCTTGGAAACTCAAACTTGGTTTACAATTTCAGCACTTTAGTTCACAGAAAATACCCTCACAGTTTTTTTCTTATAAAAAAATCATCATAATGAATTATCCCCAGATTTTTAGATAAATAGGGTGCAGTAAATATGAACAACTTTTTATATTGGTGTTATTTGATGTTCAAAAAGTAACAGACATACTATCCCTTATTACCAGCAAAATGACTTACGATTATTACTTTTAAATCCTCATGCCTATTACAGAGACAGCACTATTTAATAAATTTAAGCCAAGCTGATCTTTGCATATTTAATGAGTAAATAGCAAGACAAAATAAATCTAATGATACCAATGGGCATTTATTCTCACTCTCCATGTTGTTCTAATAAAATATAATGCACTGAACCAAACAACAACAACAACCAATAACATAATTTGTTTTACTGTTTAACAAATTCATCTAAAGGTCTAGAAAGACTCAATTGCCTATCTTCAATAAATATTTCAGGTTTCTAACTAATTAAATCTCTCTATCTAATAAATAATCCCAGAGAATGAAGGTAGAAATAGGTTAATGTGAGGCATAACCTGAAATCAATATAAAATTATATGTAAATCATGGCCTAAGTTAAACCAAATAGCTTAACATATAAGACCCATGTGAAGATCTTTAAAATCTAATTAGATAAAAGAGGACATTTGGGTTAGAAGTCCCTTCAGGGCTATGTATATAAGATAAAACTCCAGTTAGAATTATATCTCTAAGAATTATATCTCTATTAAGAATTATATCTCTAATTATATCTCTAATACCCTCTAGGCCGTGAATATACCGCTCTATCTGAAGAATAAATACAGCTAGCTATTATTAAAAAAATCACAAAGGATTCAAAAAGATAATAAAAATAAATGAACATTTTAAATTAAGAAAACCCCGCACCCTCCATTTACCCCCCCCACACACACACAAAAAAGAAAGCAAGAAAACAAATACGTAAGCCTCAATTTCACTAGTATATTGTGTCTGGGTTACTGCCAAGTATCACAAACCACATTTGATATTTTGTGTTTTTGGCTGAGTGACACTAGAATGTCTTTGAGGGGAGGGGGAGGGAGAGAAGGAACTTAGAAAACAGAGAACAAGAGCTTTCCAGAGTACAGCTATGTGATTTCTAGTTGATTATCAAAACAACATTGGAAGTAGTTTAATGAAAATACAAATCAATAATACACAGAGGTAGTAGCCTAAAATACACCCAGGGAAGGCCAAGCTTGGAAATCTTTAGGCATATGCTAGAAACCCTAATTTCTTACCCATCAGCAGACAGAACAACATGTGCCCATACCATAGCCCTGAACAGAGATTTGTATCAAGCAGCACCCTCTAATCTCTGATAATTCACAGCACATTACAGGCTTTCATTCAAGAGGGAAGAGAAAGGATTACCCTAAATCAGAAGATGGTGCCTCAAATGTGAAAGCAGATGAAATCAGGAATCTCCCCAAACTTGGCTCAGCACATTAAAATTAGTCACTGTCTATAAAGAAACTGCCAAGACTGCTGAGGATGTGAAAGTTAATACTGTCCTGATGTAAACTGCCAGGCTCTGCTGTCTTGCCACTCCTCCAGAAAGCTATGCTCTAATGCTGATTTCTACCAAAGTTATTCGTTTGGGAACAGAAACTTAAGTCTGAAGTTGCGCATTCTCTAGCATACTTCTTTACTGAGAAGTGTCTAGTTAGTGCGCTGATTCAGCTTAGATAAATGGATTTTTTTTTTTTTTTTCACTTCTGAAATGGCTAGATTTCTCCCTGGCTTTATACATACGATTGCTATGAGATGAAGCATATGAGCTGTTCACCATTTGGTTTTGACCACGATGAAAGCTCAATTTTATGTGACTCTTGTTCTTTTATGTGACAAAACATTTTATACACGCCTGTCAGTAATATTAACAATAAACAATGAAGGTAAATAATTATAGAAAGTAAATATGAGAGAACAGTCTTTCTAAAAAGCACATCAACAAATAATTCATAAATGACTACAAAATCATTACCTCTGCTCTCTGCGTTCTGGGAAAAGCGGTTGATTTCTCTATGGCATACACATCCACCAGGTAAAGACATGCTCCTTGCTCCCGGTCCAGAATGGCTGCAGTCTGAATTACTCCAGTTTGTCGTCCAATAGTAAAGAGGCGTCCAACTGTTTTTTCTTCACAACGAACTGAAACAATATAATACTCCACTGGGGCTTCAGATCCTCTAGGGCTAGCTGCTTCTATGGATATTACATTGGTACCGATGGGTTCACCTTCCTTCAAAATAGTTATATATTTGGGTTGAGTAAAAACAGGTCCATCAAGGCCCTGAAGAATGATGGTCAGTTCAGTGGTCGATTTCCTCCTTTCAGGGCCAAGGTCTGTTGCTGAAACTATGAGGTTATAGATCAGCTGTGAAGGCACCAGAGCTGAAGCCACTCTCAAGTCTCCACTATAACGATCCACAATGAAGGTGTCTGTGTCCCCATTGATGATCTCATACTCCACTTCTCCGTTAGCCCCTTCATCTGGGTCTGCAGCCATTATCGTTGTCAGAACAGAACCAATCACAGCCGAAGGGTCTGCAGCAAGGGCATTTTGTGATATAAACATTGGAACGTTGTCATTGAGGTCTGTGACCAAAATGGTCACGTTTTTCAAAGCGTAGCGTCTTGTTTCTATAGGCACAGCTTGATCATTGGCTTTTACAGTTAACTCAAAGAGATTGGCAAATTCCCGATCTATTTCAGCATTAGTATATATAGTGCCTTTGACTTCATCTATGCCAAAGTGGTTGCCCCTGGGCATTTGTTGAATGATTGTATAGGATAGTTGCCCGTTAATGTCTGCATCAGGGTCATGTGCAGTCACTGAAATGACAGACGTTCCAATGGGAATGTTCTCAACAATAGACTTGAAAATATCCCCAGGAGGAAAGCTAGGAGGATTGTCATTAAAGTCCCTCACATGTATAACCACTGACATTGTAGATGAACGAGGAGGCCTTCCTTGGTCTTTTGCTGTTATATTTAATTTGTACAAAGACTGTGTCTCAAAGTCCAATTTTTTGGCAAGAAAAATACTCCCAGTGTTTGGGCTAATGCTAAAAGTTCCATGGTTGTTAGTTCCAGTAATACTGTAATGTAAATCAGCATTGTCACCTGAATCTGAATCGGTTGCAGTAACAGAGGACACGAGTTCACCAATTCTCATGTTTTCCAAAACATCAACAAATAGTGTTGATTTAGGGAAAGAAGGGGTATTGTCATTTTCATCTAAAATATCAATATTTAAGGTACAGGTTGAGTTGAGGGAGACTGCACCTGAATCCACTGCTTGAATTACAAGGGAATAGGCAGGTGTTGCTTCATAGTCTAATTTGCCGATCAGTGTCACCTGACCAGAGGTACTGTCTATAGCAAACTGTCTTTCTTCATTCCCTTTCATTACGAAATAATGAATAAGTCCATTATTACCTTCATCAACATCTGAGGCAGATACTCTTAAAACTTGTGTCAGGTTGGCTGCTGACTCTGATATGGTGGCTTGGTAAAAGTCTTTTAAAAATTTGGGAGCATTATCATTTATATCCTTCATGTAAACATGCACTGTGGCCTGATCCTTGAGAGGCTGAGGGAGCCCCTGATCTGTTGCAATGACTGTAAAGCTAAACACTGCAGTCCCCCTCTGCCTCATAAGAGACTCCCTGTCAAATTGACGAGTATTTCTAATTTCCCCACTAATAGCATGCAACTCAAAATCTGGCTGCACCATTTCAAAAGAATACCTTACTTCTCCATTTGGCCCAAAGTCTTTATCTATAGCATTTACTTTGCCCACAAATGACCCAGCTCTCTGCTCCTCTTCAAAATAAAATGTATAATTGGTACTGTTAAAAAGAGGCCTGTTATCATTTACATCTTCTAAAATTACAGTAACATTCACAGTAGCACTAAGGGGTTCCACTGCTCTGTCAGAAGCAACAACCAGTAAAACATATCTGTCTTGAAGTTCACGGTCCAGTTCACTTTTTATATACAATTGACCATCTGGGAATATGCCAAAAGCATCCCCTGTATTTCCTTCAGCAATGCTGTATGCAATTTCACCATTTGCTCCTGAATCCTTATCAAAAGCTTGCACTTTAAAGAATCGAGAATTCACAGGTTCTGACTCAGAAAGGGTGACCTCATAAGAAAGTTGATCAAACACTGGTGGGTTGTCATTTACATCATGAACATAAACTGTTAAGATGAAACTAGAGGAGAGCTGTGGAACACCCATATCAGATGCCAGGATCTCTATTTGGTAGGAACCAGCATGAACATCCAGGGGCCCTAGCAGACTAATATTACCATTCTTTTCATTGATAGTAAACAGGTTCTTGGGGTTTTGCTTCAGGCTATAGAGTACCATGCCATTGACACCTTCATCAGGGTCCACAGCTTTGGCTTGGAAAATGCTGTGACCTGCCTGCCAATTCTCTACCACGTTTACGCTCTCTACTGCCTGAAGGAAATGGGGAGAGTTGTCATTCAAATCCTTAACCGTTATGTTAACCATAGTGTCTCCAGTCACTGTGCCCCCACTGGCCACTACTTTCAGCTGATAAAAGGATTGCTCTTCTCTGTCAATCACACTTGCTGTGGTAAGGTGCCCAGTGACCTGGTTGATAGCAAACATACCTTTCTGATCCCCAGTAGTAATGAGATAACTGATGTTGGAATTGAGATCCATGGTGGATGCAGACACACTACCCACATGATATCCCAGAGCCACATTCTCAAATACCACGAAGCTGTAGGCAGCCTGGCTGAATACAGGTGGGTTGTCTTGAGTGTCCAATACAGTGATGGTTACTATTGCCTGGTTGGGAGACTGTAAATTGCCACCATCAGTAGCCACTATTTGCAACTGGTAAGCTGTTTTTTCTTCTCTGTCTAGGGCCATTCTGGTAGAAATAACCCCACTTTGAGCATTGACTTGAAACCGAGACCTGTCCCCAGCTGATATACTATATTTGATAGTTCCGTTGAGACCCAAGTCTGGGTCAGTGGCAGATACTGTAGTGATGTAACTTCCTCCAGGCTCATTCTCCTGAATATGAGCAAAGTATTGGATTGGGTAAAACACAGGACTGTTGTCATTCACATCCAGGAGACTCACATTTATGCGAACCATTGATGACTGGGGAGGGGAGCCCAGATCTGTGGCCAGAACCAATAGGGAGTAGAAAGCTTGCTCCTCTCTGTCCAAGGAGGCGATAGTACTCAACCTCCCAGACACAGGATCCAGCCGGAAGGATCTCTGGTCAGTCTCAGCCTCTTGCAGGGAGAAGCGCACTGTCCCATTGTCACCCAGGTCTCTATCAGTTGCCCTGAGCACCAGTAGCTCTGTCCCTGTTGGGGCATTCTCAACCACAGACACATCATACCCTTCTGGCTGGCTGAATACTGGCTTTTCATCATTCACATCCAGGAGAGTTACTACAAGCTGGGCATAGGAAAACTTGGGGTGAACCCCCTGGTCCCGAGCACTGATATTCAGTACAATCTGGGAAGCCAGTTCACGGTCCAAGCCCCCGGCAACCCCAGTGGTCACCAGGCCGCTATGTTCGCTGATATGGAACCAACCTAGTCCGTTGCCAGAGACGATGCTGTAACGCAGATTAGCATTGAGACCAGAGTCTCCATCAGTGGCAGACACTCCACTCACATAGCTTCCCCGGGGCGCCTCCTCGCTCAGGTTCACTCTGTACACTTGCTGTGCAAAGACAGGAGGGTGGTCATTGATGTCATTTACGAAAATCACCAGGCTTGCCACAGAAGAACGCGCCTGGACCGCTGCGCCAGGGGGCGCCCCGTAGTTATCAGAGACCGAAACTGTGAGGTTGTAAGAAGGGATGCGCTCGCGGTCTAGGGCGCTGGCCACTTTGATGAGGCTCAGGTTCGGAACTTTGCTGCTCTGCACCTCAAAGTGGCGCTGCTCATTGCCCCCTAGGATCTGCACAGAAATATTCCCGTTGGCCGCGGGCGAGTCTGCGTCCGTCACGGTGAGCAGAGCCACCACAGTGCCCACTTGAGCGTTCTCATCTACAGAGGCGTAGCGCGAGGTGGCTGGGAAGTAGCGGAATTTCACCACGGGGTCGTTGTCGTTGACATCTAGCAGCTGAATGAGAGCCTCGGCACGCCCAGTGAGGGAAGGCACGCCTCGGTCCATAGCCTGCACGGTAAGCGAGTATTGGCGCCTGGCCTCGAAGTCCAGGGGCTCCCGCACCGTGATAAGCCCCGTTTCGGGGTCCATTTGGAAGGGAGTTCCCTCGTCCTGCAGCCGATAGCGTATGTCCGCATTGGTGCCCTCGTCCGCGTCCGCCGCCGCCACCTGGAGGACGCTGGAGCCCACCGCCGCGTCCTCAGGCACCCCCGCCTGGTAGTGGGAACTACCAAACACCGGGGGGTTGTCATTTATGTCTTGCACAGTCACGTTTACCTGAAGGTAGCCCCGCCGCTTCGGCTCACCCTTGTCCTCCACTTCCACCAATAGCTGGTACTGCGGTGTGACCTCGCGGTCCAGCCCGCCCTTGGACACCAGATGCAGAAACGCACCCTCGCCGCTCGGGTTCAGGGTGATGTCCAAGCGGAAGCGACCCGCCTCGTTGCCCTGGATGATGCGGTAAGAGCGATGGTCCACACCATTGGAGCCGATATCCGAGTCGGTGGCCGTATCCAAGATGACTTGGCGCCCGCTGCTACTGTCCTCCTTGAAAGTGACCACGATGGAGGGATCGGGGAAGACCGGGGCGTTGTCATTGAGGTCCCGCACCAGCACTCGCACTTCGGTGGGGTAGGTGGGAGAGCTGGAAAGGACCACCAGGTTGATCACGTCGCTGGGCAAGCTCTCGCGGTCGATGGTGGCGGTGGTGTAGAGGGCCCCGGTGCTGCTGTTTATGGCAAACAGGGCGTGGCTTTCGCTGAGCCGGTAGGTGAAGCCCGGGCGCGTCTGGATGGTGCCCACCAGCGTGCCGGGAGGTTGCTCCTCCAGCACTTGGAACACCTGGCGCTGCTCAGCCCCGCTGACCCGGGCCGGCCCGGGGAGCTGTGATAGCAGCCAAAAGACTCGGAGGAGCTGAAATACTGATAGAGTGGGCAGCTGGAGCCTTGGGCGTCCAGGTGCCCTGTCTGCTGCCAAGTCCATGGTCCTGGCTCCCTGGAACGGTGTGAGAAAGAGAAGGAAGAGTGAAGCAAAAGAGTACAGCAGGGATGAAGGAGCCCCAGCAAAAAGTGCAGCCGATGGCTCTGAGAGCACTGCTATTTCAAAGAACCTCCAGCCCAGCTGAAGCAAATCGCGTCAGAGAAAGACTCCAGGTAATCATTTGGACTTGTAGGACAAGAGAGATGCCCTGACGAAAGGCGGCAAGGCATTCCGCGGGACACTCCTGTGCGTTGATGAATTCCCAGAAAAGTTTCTCAAACCGCCTACATTTCCCCCCTTCACTTTGTTTTTTGAATCCAGAGAGTCTGAGCGTTTTCGCCCGGGTGGATGTGGATTTGGGAGAGGCGTTGCCTGCGTTTAAGGTATATGAGGAATCATTGCAAACAACTGTCTTCAGAAACTTTCGAACTTACCCAAGGCGAAGAAACTGAAGAGGGAAGAAAGACTTCGGTAGAGATGTGTGGCGAGAACAATTGCGCACGGGGGAGGGGGCGGTGGGGAACCGGGAGATTATCGAATTCCTTTCCCAAAAGCTGGAGACAAGGGATTTCCTCGAGTCCTCACTAACAAGGCTGCCAGGCCCCTCCAACAGGGCTGCAGAAGTGGCCGCGGAGGCCCGGGCGCCGGCGTCCGCGAGCTGGCAGCTAGCGATTGCGTTCCAAGCGCTCGCGTTGGAGCTAGGGCTCCGGTACCCAGGAGCGCTCAGCTCCGTCCCTTCTCCTCCAGCCGCCGCCGCCGCCGCCCCTGCTGCGGCTTCGAGCCGGTGGTCGCGCGCAGGCAACATCCAGTGCTCCTCAGCATTTTTGTTTTGTTTTTGTTTTTTACCTCTGCCGAGGTGCCTGCCGACTCATTATTTGTACATCCAGATCGAGTGCAGGTCCGTCCCCCTTTCTTCTCGGCCTCGCAGGGGTCGGGCAGGAACAGCGCGCGGTCCCGGAGTCCCCTCCCCTCACCATGCCAGGGGGATCGTTCTCCGGCGGCCCCAGTCAGAAGCCCACTCCAGTGCGCCTCGCCCCTGCCCCCGTTATCTTTGCTTTTATTGTCCCGTGTCAGTTTCACTTTGTAATCCACAAGCCTTTTTGTTTGGGGCGGGGGGTGGTTGGTCCCTCTTTCTCCTTCACCGTTGGCGGTGGAGGCGGGGAAGTCGGCGCTGGGCTGTGGCGGCGCCCGCGGCAGCTCCGGACCGCGCCTGTCAGCGCTCTGCTTCTTGCCTGCCGGGGATGACGGTTGTACCGCTGTGGAGCTGGAGCTCAGCGAGCAGCTCTCAACCTCCGGCTGGTCCCTCACACTCCCCGCCTCTTCCCCGCTGCGCGCACGCACACACACACACACACACACACGCACACGCACACACAGCGACCGTCGCTGAAACACAAACAGAGGGGGAGGGAAGAACGCGAGCTGGAGCAGGACTCAGAAACTTTGCTCGCCGCTCATTGATCCCCGCACTTTAGTTCGCCCGGACTCCCCCTAACTCCGGGTCCTGTCACCTACTGCCCCTCCCTCGCCCCAGCCCCATTGGGCCGGAGCTGAGGCAGCCCCGCCTGGCACTCCTACCGCGAGCGCTCTCCGGCTCTTTGGGCCTCCGACTGGCTTCTCAGGATGCTAATCACTCCAGCCTCCCGGAGGACTGTAGGCGGTCGGGTGTGGGAGCCCGGCGAGTCGGAGGCGCTGAGAAGGGGGATGATTTTTTTTTCCTTTTTTTTCTTTCTTTCTCTTTGGTCAAATCTTGGCCGGCGTCAGAGCAATAACAGCAAAAAGCTGCCGCAGGATAGATGGGGGTGGGGTCAGGTTTGCAGATAAATAACTTTAGTGGCGGGGTCTGAGGGAAGACCGTTAGGTTGTTATGCTAGTAATAACTCAGGGTAAGGGGGTCGAGAGAAATAAAAGAAAGGCGGGGGGTGAGGGTCTGTTAGAGCGCGGAGGAAGGATTAAGCAAAGCCTGTCTGGGAATGCACAGTGCAGATTTGCTTTAACCATTTCCTGCCTCCTCTCTGCCTCCTCTCTTTCGGTGGGAGGGGAGAGAGCTGCTGTACAATGCGACCCGACAGAAGCCACGCAAAATCGTCCTCGTTCCTCCTCTGTCTACAGAATGAGCTCCCTGAGGTCCAGAGCGAGCCAAACTCTAAACCTGCATTTGCCCCCTCCCCTCCCTTCCAGGAGACGAGGGGCACCAAGGCCTCAGTACCAATCTACCAATCGCACTTTGGACTTCCTATAGGAAAAGCCAAGGGAACTCAGTGTTTGTTTTGTTTCCCTTCCCAAATGGATCCCAGGTGCCAGTAGCTAAACCTTACAGTTTCAACAATAACAATGATAGCCCTTTGGAAAGATGGAGATCTTTTCCTGTTGCAAAGTTTGGAATTTTGATCCCTGTTGGAGTATTTCCCCCTTGACGTTTTGTAGCCAAAGGAATCCTGATGAAGTTGTGTTTCGGTTTTGTTGTTGTTGTTGTTTTGTTTTGTTTTGTTTTTTACCTGGGGAAAGGATAGATACGAGAAAAATAGAAATAAATAAAATGAAATCAAAATTTTTAAAAATGCCCACGTGCCACGTACTGCACTCGGGTTAATTCTTCTGCTATTTTAACTGTAGCTAATTTTTGTGGTGGCATGCATTGTTTCACTAAAGAAAAAAAAGTTACTGGGAACCAGGTGAGTATTCTTTCCCCTTTAAGGGAAACCATTTAGAAAATACGAATTTAAGCCAAGGAATGCAAATATAGGGCATATGTCACACATTTCTGCCACAGTGACCCCACCAAATTTTTTTCTGAGCCATGACATGATTCAGCTATGAGTAAATACTGCCCTCTGCTGTTCTATGTCAGCCTTACACCTTTAGTCGTCTGGTTTCTTGCTTAAAATTAAATGCAGAGACTAAGAAGATCTGGTTACAAGGCTAATTCCTCCTTCTTGCCTAGGGATAGTGGCAAAGAAAAAAAGATCTTTAGGAATCTCCTAGTGCCTTTCCTTATTTAAGGTAAAAAAAAAAAAGTTTAAGAGCAATAGAGCAGACAGCAAATTCAAGTTCTCTGATGTAGACAGCCTGTAACCTGAGACTGATATATGGAAATCTGAATAATATAAATGCTTTCACCAATTCCTTTGTTTAGGTTAGAACATTCACTTTTGCATATTCCACTACTGTATATAATGACATATATAGCATATATAATGAGTGAATTGGAAACAGACAAGAAAATTAAATTCCAACATTTCTAACAAGAAAGTTAAATTTCAACAATTCTGTATTTTTAGGACTTGCAAACTTTCTAAAACATTGGAAGATTTTCTTTTAAAAGAGAGACATTTTTAATCCTTTTCCCAAACCCATATCTCTGCCAACAAGTTTCAATCTTAATACCATTTTTCTGGTGTAATTTAGCCAACAAAGATTTGTAGATTAACTGAAGTGGAACTAAACTTTTTTTATTCATTTTTTAAATTCAAGTATAACTAACATGCAGTGTTATATTCCTTTCAGTTGTACAATATAATGGTTCAACAAGTCTGTACATTACTCTGTGCTCATCATGATAAGTGTGCTCTTAGTCCCCTGCTCCTTTTTCACTCATCCCCCCACCCGGCGCCCTTCTGGTAACCATCAGTTTGTTCTCTACATTTAAGAGTCTATTTTATTTTCTGTCTCTTTTTTTCTTTGTGGGACCAAACCATGGCTATGGTGTATGGTTTTAAAAGAATATTAGGGTTTGTTTGTTTGTTGTTGTTGCTAATGCACCACAATTCAATCACTCAGGTAGGAAAGAATAGAAAGAAAACATTTAGATACTTGTTGTAAGAGATCAGGTACTTCTGTTTGATTTTGTTTGTTTGTTTGTTTGTAGAACCTGTGGAGTAATCTTCATATTTAGTCCCTATAGTTTTAAATTTAGTCATCTATAAGTGGATTTAATTTGGGAGGACAGGCGAAAATCATCCATTTTGTGGAATGGGGGTGTTCATTTTGTGTAATATTGTTTTTAATTTAAAAAATGAGATATGGCAAAATTAAGTAATATTTCTGTAAATATGTATATATTCAGTACATAAAATAACTTTGTGAACAATTCTGAAAGAGGATTATAAAAAATGATTTAGACTATGGTATGGTTATTTGAGTAAGTGGAAGCTTTCCATGATAATGACTTTAATTAAAGTAAGACATTAATTTATAGATAGCACCTATGCATAAAATTACAGTCTAGGTATACATAGGTACATAATTTAAGATACGACATAGAAAAATGTTATACTGAAAGACAAGGGATGAAGCCTTTTTTATATTTTATTCTCTTGGGTTTCAAAAATTGTGATAATACAGTGCATGATGAAAAGTAAGGATGCCCCACAAAAAAGTTAAATAAAAGAAAATAAAGACATATAGAGACTGAATGTATGAAAAAAAACAAAGTTTAGTTTATCTTTGCTTGTCCACCAAAAGTTCAATTGTTTTAAGAAAAGAACTAGTGAGAGCTTTCAAGAAACATGAAAATAGATGCTTCTAAGAGAGAAGATATTCATCAATTTTAATGGACTGTATGGGAAATTATATATATATTTTTTGTCCAGGCATGAAAGAAACTAGAGAATACAGCTCATGTGAGCTCTAGAATACATTAAAACAAATAGTTTTATAATAATTTGTTACTCTGATCTGTAGACATTTGCCATCATTACTTCATTAATTGTCTGAATTTTTTTTCTCATGTTTTAGACCCCAGGTAAAAAAGCTTAGGTTAGTCATACTCTTTAATTTATAACACATTAGCAACACTGTCTGGAAAAGTATTCTCCTTCCTACTTCCTCCTTTTCTTCCCTCTTCTCCCCTTCTCTTCCATTCCTTTTCCTTCCCTTCTCCCCTCTCTTCCTTATCCTTCTCTCCCTGTTTTTCTCTTCCCCTTTCTTTTCCTCTCTTGCTTCTGGTCCTCTCCTTTCTTCTTTTTTCTCTTCCCTTCCAATTCCCACCCCCTTTCCTTTTTCTCCCCTAGGTTTTCTATTCTCCTCTCCTCTCCCTTCCTCTCCCTTTCTCTCTCTCTCCCTTTACTCTTCATTATACTTGGCTTACTTTATTTTAGTGTATTCTACCTTACTCTCCTCTCCTTATCATTCTTCACTCCCATTACAGGACTCCCAGAGGCAAATATTCTAATGAGAGGAAAGTGTGTCTTTCTGTTTCCATATTTTTGTAAAATATTTATTATAGAGTTGTCCTGTATTTTTGACTGAGATAGATGATTTGGATTATATTGTGTATGTGTCTCATCCTGTTTCTTATCTTTTTTACCAAACACTGTTTTAAAGATTTTAAAGTGTTACTATTGTATGTGGACATCTAAATTATTGTTTCTGACTTTTGCCTTTTACTATTAGGAATGTATCCATTACCCTTAACCTATATCTACTTACACAGTTGTAGACACCCAGTTTGCTTCCAACTCCCTGACATCACAAATTAGTCTGCAATGAATACCCTTGTAATTGTCCCCATATGGAAATGAATATCTTTGGGATACATAATGTCAAAGGAAGAAGCCTCTACTCCATATCTGAAATAAATAGCTGATTACTTGCTAAACAAGTGAGAGTTGCATTTGTAGGACACAGTATTTC